AAAAAAAAATTTTATAGTTGTAGTTGGACACAATACCCTTACTTTTATTTGTTTTTATTTTTATTTGTTTTTGTTTTTATTTTTTATTTTAGGATGGAACCCAGTGCCTCACACATGCTAGGCAAGCACTTTACTGTTGAGCCACAACTTCAGCCCCTGGATGTGGACTCTTTAAACGAATGATGCGGAGACATTAGAAAACTTAGAAAAAGATAAAGTTGGGTCCCAGTTTGCCCACACCGTATATCACTATATATTTTAAATGGACCCAGAATTATAAATTTTTAAAAAGAAACCATTACATGGTGAAAAAGTTTTTGAAATGGGTGGAGGTGATGCTTTGTCCAGGAGTTCAAAATTTTTTTTACATGGTTTATTACAACAACAAAAAATTTAATCAAGTGAAAATAAACTGAACAATAAACAAATAAACACTCAAAACAAAATATTTTCCATTGGAAACATGTTAAGATCAATACGGGGCTTTGTTACCATCTTACTGCAATTTTTTTACGTGTTACAAACCTACATACCCCATGTTTTCTGTAATCATGCAGATGTGAATGGAAGCTTGAATGATTAAATACATGAAAAGTCCATTTACTGCAGAGAATCATTTCACAAGGCAGCCACACTGGTTTTAGAGAACAAAATCATTCAAGAAATTCTCCAAGTATTTAGGTTCATTTTAGAATCTGTGAACCTTAAGCTGCTCCTCCTTGACAATGCCAACCTCCAAGAGAAACTGGCAAATGTTTTTTCTTTGGTCACCTTGAAGTTGAATAACCTCCCCGTATTCAGGATGTTCAATCACAGAACCATTACAGGCAAATTTCTTTTTGAAAGCTTTCACAAGTTTCTTTTTGTCATAATCATCTGCAATGCCCTGAACTGTAGTCAGTGTCTTCCTGCCATCTTGTGTAGGACAATTTTTTTTTTACGTTTTTAAAAAATAAAAGAAAATCATTGTTAAAAATCCCAATGTCATAAAAAAAAGATTTAAGGCAAAAATTATTACAAGTGAACTCATAATGCAAACTACATCTTAGGGAAAAAACACTTGCAACTCTGAGCACTAAGGGTAGTCTCCCTACCATGGAAAAGACTCCAAAGCTCTGGAGGCTGAAGAAGTGAGGCTCGTGAGTCCAAAGCCAACCTC